GAAAAGAAAATGGAAAATGAAATGGAAACTGGGTTTATATAGGGGATTATAGGGATTAGGGTTTCCCAAAACTAGGGGTACCCTTTTTGGGGGTCCCCATAATAAGGATTATAGTATATTTGGGGTCTATATTGGGGTCCCCCTATTTAGGGAAACATGCAAACAAGATGGGACTTGTGTTTTTTGGAATGAATAGAAAGCCTATACTTGGAGGTACGGCAAGAATTTCCGAAATGCAAGTATCCTGTGACAGGGGTCATGGCCCTGCGGAGTGACATGCGGAGACCGGGGAGGCTGGAGAGCGTGAGTTTCTTGGGTGTTATACAGCTAGAGCCTAAATTCTTTGAAGGGGGTATATAGTGGATTATAATGATAGGGTACTATTATAGGGGTTATCAAGGGGGATAATTGGAGTGTAGACTAAGATCAAGGTTAGTCGCTCAGTTCCATTTCATTGTATATTTTTTCCATTTGATTCTCGGTTACTTTCCCCAGGTACCCCTCTAAACCCTTGATTCTCCATTATCGGGGTTCTATTCCATTTCATATACTCCCCATAACATGTTAAACATGCTGTGTCATGAGAGAGGTGCGTAGCTATTTCAGTTCAAGCTGTTGCATGGATAGATCCGTGGTTGCTGCAGCTGGAACAGGGTCAGTCTCGGGCATAGTCCTGAACCTTCTGGCGCAAGCTCTGGCTAATCCTCTGCCGGTACCTGCTCCGTTTGACTGCCCTGTCTGCTTGGACATACAGGTTACGGACATCGATATCAGATCGTTGGCACTGGGACTGTTGATTGGGATTTGCATTGGACCTTTGATAGATCTCCTGTACGGGCTGAAGCTCATCTGGAGACGAGCTGTGGCCAGGTGGTGGGGCGGCATCGTCAGGTCTCATCCTTTCCCCTTGTACCGTGTGCATGAGTGCCTCTGCGCTTGCCATCCTCCGTGCAGAGGTTCGGTTGCTCCAAGCTCAGGTGTCCCAGCTTCAGGAACGGGTTGCTGAACTAGAGGGTTTCGAGGTGGTTTCGAGTCCTGGGGGTTGCAGGGGGCCTGTCAGTGCAGTAGCGCCGGAAAGTGCGGCGGCGACTTCGACAAGCTCTTTGGCAGGGTCGAGTGGTCCTAAAGCCCAAGGCGGTGAAGTTCCTTCCAGTTCGGCTGCTACTACCTCTACAGGACCCTCTGGCAACGAAGCCTCCGAGGTTCAGTCATGGGAGTTCCGTCTCAAGGTTGCCAGGGAGATTGGTATCTTCCTGAGGCGCTCACTGGAAGGGGTGTATCACGGAAATTCAGGGCGACATCAGATTGCACTGAAGAGTCGCCTGTATATCATTGTGAGGGACCGTGCTGGCATCATCTATACCAATCCGGCCAAAGTGCTGAGGACTTGGAGGGAGACCAATGCCTTGGTTGAGCGTGGAGGTGACTTTGGTGACGCCGTGTTCGTTGGAGTACCCAGTGAGCGCAAAGGACGGACAGCAGTGCTCGAAGCGGGGTTCACCTGGCCCGCTTTGAGGCTTGATGTCTGAGGACAGCGAGCCAGAGGAGGGTGTCGACGCCCGGGGCGCCCTCGTCTTCAGAGAGAACCGGACGAACGTTTTTTACAAGGTGGGGACCATCGCCTGCTCCGCAGTGGGCGAGACCTCAGCCATTATCTGCATCGCCGAGCTTGGAGGTCGGCTGATCGTAGCCGTGCCTGGTGCGGTGTGGACGAAGAAGGTTGCAAAGAGGAAGCTTGAGAAGAGCACCTTGGGAAAAGCACTCGGGGTTGACGTCGTTGCCTGCTCTGAGGCGGACCTCGAGAACCCCCTCCCTGAGGTCTCCATCAAGGCACGGGTCGGCATCCTGTCCATGAACGACGAGGCCAAAGTGGAGTTCGTGACGACTCCTCCGACCTACGACTTTGGGACTGGAGTCCTCCCATATGCGGAGGCCTTGGTGAGAGTCGCGGACGAGCGTTTCGACTTCGCGACGGCAGAGTCAGGTGGCGGCGGGGACGGCATCTTCAAGAGAATGAGCCTCGTCGAATCTGGATTGGCCGACACGCGCGAGATGCTCAAGACGCTGGTGTGTCAGACTGGGGAAGCAGCGCCAAGTACAGCTACCGGGGCAAGG